TCTCTCTCTCTCTCTCTCTCTCTCTCTCTCTCTCTCTCTCTCTCTCTCTCTCTCTCTCTCTCTCTCTCTCTCTCTCTCTCTCTCTATGTGTGTGTTCCGTTTCTTGAATTCGATGCTGAAATTTAGCAGTTGGCTTGGGCCTAACTTTTTTTTTTTTTTTTTTTTCGGGCATTGCCCGCACCGCTTGCACCGCGGGCGCTTAGCTAGTATATATATATGGGCGTGTAGATAAAAAAAACGCTCTACACGCCTATGACATTTAATAATTTTCATGTCATTTACTGCAAGGGAAAAAAAAAACAAAAAAAATAAAATAAAATAATGGAGATGATTTTTTTTTTCCATATTTTTGATTTATTGGGCCGGTGGCAAAACACTGACCCCCCCACACACACGCACACACACAATCAATCAATCAATCAATCAATCAATCAAACATTCAATCAATCAATCAATCAATCAATCAATTAAACATTCAATCAATCAATCAATCAATCAATCAATCAATTTGATTGATTGATTGATTGGTTGATTGATTGATTGATTGTGTGTGTGTGTGTGTGTGTGTGTTGTCATATTCGTTATACACTAAAAAAAAGCATGACTGTACCAGACTGTTTCGTCGGGCTTTCACCGACTCATCAAGAGGTTGAACCCTGACAGTGTGTATGTGTGTGTGTGTGTGTGTGTGTGTGTGTGTGTGTGTGTGTGTGTGTGTGCGCGGGTGTGTGTGTGTGTGTGTGTGTGTGTGTGTGTGTGTGTGCGCGCGCGTGTTTATGCGAGGGAGTGTGTGTGTGTGCGTGTGTTTGTTCGTGTGTGTGTGCGCGCACGTGTGTGCTTGTGCGCGTGTGTGTGTATGTGTGTGTGTGTGTGTGTGTGTGTATGTGTGTGTGCCGGGGGGAGGGTTGGGAGGACCTCCCCACCAATCAATCAATCAATCAATCAATCAATCAATCAATCAATCAATCAATCAATCAATCAATCAATCAATCAGTCAGCCAATCAACCAATCAACCAATCAACCAACCAATCAATCAATCAATCAATCAATCAATCAATCAATCAATATTTATTTGTCTTTTATATAAATATTTTTTCTCACACGCCAAAAACGACCCCCCCGAAAATTATTTTTTTTAACTTTTTTTTTAAAAGAGGGTAGCGTCAGGGTTCCGAAAACCGCAATGCGCAACTCCAATCTGCAACATCAACCCTCAACCCCCTCTCCCCTCAGTCGTTGTAGGCCTCGGTAGCTCGCAGTCGCCGTGGTCATGACCGCGACCGCTGGGGATACATAGCCTTCAGCGTCTGTGTCAGTTCCTCCAAGGTAACTGGCCTGCCAAACTCAACTTTTTCTTGTAAAGTCAAAGTGACATCTGTCTGTTCCCACATGACGCTGCTTTGTGACAGGTTCGTGAGGGGAGAGTCCGCTAACCTCCTTGCTGTTAGGATGTCTGCACAATATAATCGAGCATACTCCAACATCTCCGTTGATTCGACAGCGGGTGCTGCCCCAAGGTCAAAGGAATGGTTGAGTTTGACCAGCTGCTAATGAGCTGCACTAGGCAGCAGACGTCGGAACGACTCTTTGGTCAGCCTGTCATGTACCAAGATCCCTTTGATCTTCAACGTTTCTTCCCACTGCCCATGTTTAGCCGCATGTATCTTTTCTCATTCCCCCACCCTCCTTGCCCTCTTCGCCGCCGATGTCCTCTCCGAGATAGGGTGCTGTTTCATTTTCCGCTTTGCTTCCTCCACTGACTTTCTGCATTGCTCCTCCTCCCTGTTCCTGTCTCTAGCCAGGATACGGGAGCATACACTCATCATCCCTGAAATTGTGGCTAGACCTCCGGCTAACCAATCTGCTGCAGAAGGGAAAACATCCTTCGTTGATTCCCAGGATTCCATATGACCCTGCACCCATTCCTTCAAAACTGAATCCTCCAAATTTAAGGAATTCAATCTGAAGAACCCTCGTCCCCTTTCCCCAATGGCCACTGTCACCAGATTTGCGACAACCGGTTTGTGATCCGAAAGTGGATATGACTGGTGTTTCACCGCAGTGACCTATTGCTGCAGTGATTCCGAAACCAGATAGTAGTCCAGACAGGCCGAGACGGCGCCTTGTTTCCTCCCTCCTATCGCTTTTAGGGTTTGAGTACCAGGTGAAGCCCGCTTCGTCCAAGTTCAACAACCGAAACGAGTCAGTAACGTCCAAGGAATGCATCACCTCCAAGAGTGCAGCTGCGTCTCTGCTCCCTGTTGTGCGTGTTTTCTGAGTCATTGCCATATCCAAGGACATGTTCCAATCCCCCGCTATTATCTTGTGTTTCACTTTAGGTACCTTGTTGGCAAAGTTTTGCAGAAATTTCACTCTTGAACCCAGAATTGAGGGGACATATACTTACATGAGCAATCATTCCTCTTGCCCGACTAACAACCGAAACCACACCCACCTCCCCCCCCAGATCATCTGCTTCCGTGTCTATTATTTGTGTCTCCAAGTCTCTGTGTCAGATTATCCCTACCCCCATTTTTTACCCTTGCGTCGGCGACCATATCTGTGGTCCCTCCCACCACTGCGCATATCTCTGCTACTTAACCTCATCTAGTTTAGTCTCTTGGATACACAACCCATCTAGCTTTTCTTCAAACAACCAAGACTTTATTCTCCTCCTCTTTCCTTTATCCAACGGATTGCTCATTCCCCTCACATTCCAAGTACCTAGCTTGAGTTTACCCATAAGGGGAATGTCCCGCTTCTTGACCTTGGATGCGGTTTGCCAAGTTGACAGGTTCATCCCCCCAGCGACCATTTCTCTCTGAGGGCGTGCAGGTCATCGAACTGTGTCTTGACGGCTCCTCTGAGCCCACGGACCTTGTGGACGATCTCCACAGTGCAGTCAGGGAGTCGTGCATAAACGGTGAGTGCAGATTCTCCCCCTCCGCTAGCTTCAAATTCACATGGAGAAGCACCAGTGTTGAGATGCTTGGTGTAATTGAGATGATTTCTAGTTCCTGCGCATGTTACACTCTGACCACATCCAATTTGAACGACCACAGTCCCACCTGCGAAAGGGACCTGGCTGCTAACGCACTGTTTCTGGCATCCAGAAGAGGAAAATAAAATTTAAAAATACGTTCCTCTTATAGAATTATTATCCTTGTCATTGTAGACCTAGGTATCCGTCTTATGGGAAAGGAATCACGATATAAGCAGGTAGTAGCGTCCTCCCTGTCTCTTCTGACGACAGATATGGGTGTCCCTGCACATTTGCCATTCCCAGAAAAAACACCCCATCCTCTGTAGCCGTACACACCAGCGGCACCATTCTCCTCTCCACCCTGTTTCTATTTTGTTGACCGAAACCCGGGGACCTCACCCCGTGGTGTTCCCTGTACTCTATCTTGCTTTGTGTGTCTGATGGCAGAGCCCACCTTCTGTGTGAGGTCCCTGAGCTTCTCGTAGATGATTCAAAAGGTTCCTGTTCCAATCAGTGTCGATCCCGTGAATGTGACAGGCACCGGTCACTTGAACGTGACCAGCCATTCATTTGGTGTTTTTTTTTTTGTGAACGGCCGTTCACGGTGAATGGGATGACCACTAAAGAGTGGTGTTTTTTTCTGTTTTTTGTTGTTGTTTTTTTTGGGGGGGGGGGGCTCGCCCAGGTACATTCGCCTCAAGCCCCACAGCGTGCTGATATTAAAAAAATAAAAAAAAATCGAAATGACCTAGAAAATAGCAAGCGAAAATGCTTATTTTGGATGGTAAAAAAATACCGCTCTCATTTGAACTCCATGAACTCCCATGTTGTGAACATCGTGAACAGACCCCGTCAACGGTGAACGGGGGTACGCCACTGGTTCCAGTTCCGTTTCTCCAGACCCGAGCAGCTCGTTCCCCAAGATTTCGCTCCCTACTACAACTCGGGACTCAGATGAGACTGAGAGCACAGAGGCCTCCCCTCTCTGCCCCCCTCTCTTACAACCCCCAGCCGACAACCAGATCCGGTCTCTTCTCCCTCCTACTGTCCCCATCCTGCTTCGTCGCATTAATGCCCCTTGGCTCTTACCCCCCTACTCATGTGTTGGCCCTAGTCCTCCCAGCCCCTCTAACTCATGTTGCCCTAGTCTCTTTCCTCAGATCTATAGGGCCCCTCCTGTTCCGACATCTGATTTTTGTACAACCGAGACACCTCCCCATGCTCCTCCTACGAGTATGAGTCTGCTCCAGGCGTCGGAGTGTCCCCCCATATAGTGTGCAGCAGGGAGTGATTTCAGAGATACAACCTTCGTTCTACCCACCTCCACTTCCGTGCTGCACCCACCCACAGCCTACGAGCCATCCTGCTCCGTATTATCTGCAAATGCACCAAGTTGAACGACCAATGGGTCTGTCGGGGGTTCCACCTACCTTCTGGGGAGGGCAACAACTTTTAGAATCACAGACATATCAGCCACAACATCCGGGGCCACAAACAGCGTATCAGAGTAGTCAACATGTTGCGGGTCATTCCCTTCTTACACGTGTCCCCCTGGAGTGTCAGGCTCGGCTTTTCCTGAGTGAAAACTGCAGTGTCATCTGATGAGTAGTTGCTCTTTGTATTTCAGGTCTCGTTCTCTCGCTCCGTAGATCCCCTGCCCCGGAGGGGGAGGTCTTGGCTGCGGGAGTTGCATTCTAGTTGTCTGCTGGTTTGCAAAAGATTGTCTTACTTGTGGGCCTGACAGTACTGGACCAGGATCATGGCATGACCTTGCATTCACCGATGGTCGTGTTCCTTGCGACCTTGGTCTCTCCCCCTGGTTCTGGACAGGTTGCTGAACCGGTACTTCTTGGACCACTTGGTGCCCCTGGGACGAGGCCGCTCCGTTCTGACGGGGAAGCTGCGAGTTTATCCACTGTCTCGCCGGGCGATCTATTTGCAGGGACCTGAGACAGGATTCCTTCGTGTGAAAGTACCATCGACACCGACGGCACCACTCCGTATATGGAGTAGCCACTTCCACCTTCCATATCTCCCCTTTTGGGGACTCCATTGCCAAGGTGTTCTCTATACATCACTTGTGGCTCCATGTCGAACTTTACGTTCATCATCTTTAGACGCGAGCGGTCTACCTCCGACGGATGCATGTGTTTCACCCCTCCGATCAGAGCTTCCACTGTTGAGGCCAGGTAGTAGAAAGCTTCCAATGGCACTCTAAGAGCCACCATCCAAAAGTAAGTCCCTGCCTCCTTCAGCCTGTTAGTGAGTTCTTTCACGTCAGACTTCAACATCCAAGATTTGAACACCACAGGATAGTCGATGTCTCTCATCGTCAGCTTCGTCGATGCTTTCTGAACCATCCGGGCTACAACCTCTGGTGCCTTCGCCACATATGAGATAACATTTGCCCCTTCAAAGGTGACCCTGCCCCGCCGTACCTCCGGATTGAACAACCTTCTCACCATCCACCCGTCCTCACAGACTCTTATCAAGTCTTCTTTAACTCCTCTCGTCAGGTTTTGGGCCTCCTCTTGGAAAACCACTATTACCGTTCTCTCCTTCAACCACCTTTCCTTGATAGCATCCAACGACTCATTTACCTTGAATCTTTTCCCCTTGTTATCAATAATTACCTGCCTGAAGTTTGGATTAATCTGCATAATCCCTTTGTGGCAGCGTTGACTGATTGACTACCTCATTTGATCCTCGATGGTCCATAAATTTGTCGGGGGGGGGGAGGGTTGATGTACTCCTGTCGGGGCCTCTGCATCCATATCTACCATCCTCGCTCCCTACTTAGTCCCCCACTCCCCCAATGCCATGAATCCGCACCCCTTTATCTCTCCTTCTGCCTTCCCCAACCTTCCTGCGTTGCCGCTGCAGTTGGAGCTATGTGATTCTCCCTATCTGGTTGCCCTAGTACATTTGATCGAAGTGGTACTCTTGGCTGCTTCGCTTCTTCGCCCTAGCGCTTCTCTGGCTCTGACGACTCCGAGTATTCCAACTTAACACCTGCCCCAATTAACCTCGCTACGACATATATACGATTTTTTAACACAATTTTTTTTTTTAGCAGGGCAAGGTCTCACCAGCGAAGCCTCTAGGGAGGAGTGGGTTGAACACCTGGATCCAGACATGACCGTGGGAAGGCGCAGTGAATCAAGAATAAACTGCTTTTCTACATCTCTGCTGAAAACACGTCCAAATTTAGAAGCTTATTTAATCCTCTTTGCTATTGGAACCTCGCCCAACTTTTCCTTAGCAGGAAAACGAAAACACACAAAAGACAGAGTGACTTCTTGATGACCGGAGACTGTAGCAGAGGACAGATCAGGACCAATCCCTAGGATAATTATGAGGTCACCTAATTGAGTCTGCCACCCGAACATGCCACTTCCTGAAGTATCGTTCAAACGCCGACCACCGCTGAGCAAGGAGGTACGGTCCGTACGGACGTCAAAATACCAGACCCTGTGCCTACCACGTTGACCTCACCCCGATGGAGGGCCTTCTCTTTCCGCTACCAATACATGGCACAACCTCAGCTTGGGGAGCTTCGCCCAACCACCTCGATCCTCCTCCCCCGGCTCACTCATCCTGAGAGTATCCAAATCATTTGGCCCCCATAGCCTTCTCCCAGGTTTCTCTCTCTTGAGTCCTCCTTCCCGCCCCAACCCTTATCTCCCTTCCCCTGAGGACTTTGAGCTTTGCCCGCGACACCCACCTCTCCCTGCTATTCTCGTGCCCCTCCCCGCTTCCTTGCTCTCTACTTGTAATGCTCACTCCTCTAGATTAGCAGCCGTCATAATTAGGACTAACTACGAGGGACTGCCCGGGAGGTTCCCAACAGCAAGGCTATCCCCGCTTTGCAACCATTCGACGCCTATAGTCGTGTAACTTCCTTCCAACGTCATAGATGGTCTTCTCCTCTGTTGAAACTTTGAACGTTGCTCTCTTGGTTATCTGCCGGTGTCCGGGCTGCTTCAAAGATACCCTGTCCGAAAAGCTCGGTACATATGGAGATATCCGTATGGGTATCCCGCTCTCCGTCAGTGATGGCGGAGGTGGCGGCGAAGCAGTGACTATGGTGCCCAATGACGGACTCCCACGTCAGGCGCCGCTTCGGAACGGCGCAACAGTGCGCTAACCGTCCAGCCGAGGTGCCCCCTCCCACAGAGAAGATTAGCATGCCAAAGTGATTGAATGGGCCGTTTTCTTATTTAAAATGAATTGAAATGACACATAAATGAGAAAACAAAGAACAACAGTTGTGCACGCAAATTCACGGGTTAGCAGGATCTCCTTCACGTAAGTCTTCGTAGTGATGTACCGTGGTAAAAAAATGTGTCCACGAACACAGCCACGAGGATGAACAAGTAACGGGTATGGGATACATTCATCACCATGTATCTCATGATGCCTCTAATCCCTCCCTTCCCCCTTCCTTCCCTCCCTCCCTCCCTCTCCAAGAAGAGTTTGACGTAGGCATGAAGGCTTCTTGACTGTGTAAAACATTTTTTATGATCCCACAACAGCTATCATTTTTGTGGCTGTGCGAGGGAGGGGGAGGGGGAGGGCGAGGGAGTGGCGGAGGGGAAGGGGGATTGTCTCCAATTTCGACAGTCTGTGTGGCCAAGAGAAAACGTAAAAAATGATCGTGTGTTTCCACAGTGATGTGGCGAGCCCCTCACTTTGCACATTTCGAGAATGGTGTGGCTATGCCCATGGAATGGGTTTTTCACACAACATTTTTTTTTTTTTTTTTTTTTTTTGGAAAGGTTACATTTGTATTTCAATCAAACAATGGGACGAGGAAGGGGACCTCACAATCCAACCTGAAGTTATCTTGGCAGCCTCAGCCAGTTTTGCTTACGAGCATAGCTCGGGTCTTTTAATAACTGCTCCGAATAAGTCCACAACCTTAACTGGAAACCGGGTTCAGCGTCCCATTCATCTCGGGAATACTTTCCAAAAAAAACTTGAAGCTCAGGTAAAAAAAAAGGAGGGGGGCTACCATCATAATATCCAAAGAACGTGTCGAGCTCCCAAACCACAGGGTAGTCAGCAAGCGACTATTCAGAAAGGATAATATTCAATCAAATATCCACTTAAGGAAAAATCCCTCGCTCCGCCTAACGTCGACCTAGGAGCTTTAGTCATGAGTGTCAGATAGCCAAGTACAATACGTAAAGCGGCCCTCTTGATTAATAGAAGTCAGTCTGTTATCTCGAGCCCAGGTTTTCTGGAACCAGATGATATTTTTGCGATGCCAATCCGCTCTTATTATCCTTTTGATACCTTGTTTGATCTGCAGTTGTTGATGTCTTTTAGCCATAACTTCGCCTTTGAAGACTGCCATTCCTGGCGGCCCACACAGTTTCCATCAACACTCGTCGGCAACAAAGGGCAATATAGCCCCACCCGGAGGAGTATAACAAATTTTGTGGGAGGATGCGTATAAGCATCCAGACGTCTAACCAGTCAAACATTCCTCCAACTATGTTATTCCCGTGGGATGTCCACCAAAGATTGATTTCATCTGCAAGTGCATAGCACAACCACAGATGGACTATGTTCTCTCACCCCCAATTGCATCTGACACACTGCGAGGAGACTTCCATCCCCTTGGCTGCCAGCCACGTGGCTGTTGGGGTAATGAGGAGAGAATGAATCCACATAATACTAGCCTGTTTCGGGACCGGGTAACTCCTCAGGGCCCTCCAGAATTTTGTGATGTTGGAAGCAGTGACTCCTACTAATTGGTGGGATACCGCTCTATCTACTGCCAAGGTTACCGCTTTCCTTTTTATTTTCTCTTGGAGTATTTGTACTCCTACCTTCGCTCGAGATCGGCAGATGGGGTTAAAGGTCCTTATACCTTCTTGGTCTTTCCATCCCAGCAGTAGTGGCTCTACCCCGAAGGTGTCGGCGTCCCGTAGCAGCGTAACTTTCATGTTTTTTTGCCTTGCTTTCTGTAATAGGACCCTAACCTCCACCATCCCCATTGTAGCATCTAGATGTGAATCCTTATCCTTCATTATCAGAGAGGAGGTACCTGAGGATACACCCATGTAGTTAGCTGAACTTATCCATTTTTGGACCCGGAGGCCAGACGGTAGGTCTGGACCCAAAATTTGCAGAATTTGGTCAGGCTGTGTCTGCGACCGAACCCACGTTTCTGCCGAATGTTCTGTATCTGGTTGGAACAGGTTGATCCATTGAGCAGGGATGACTTCCACCAAGGCTGAATAGTGAACCTGCACATTATGCAGTCTTGGAAGTTTGTTTTTGATCTGGGATGTATCTAACAATCTTGCTTGATCCGTGTCCCAGATGTCTTTAATATGAATTATTTCTTTCTTGATCCATCCTCCTCCGAAGCTTCCGGGGGGATCTGAAACAGTAAACCGATGCTCATCAGGCTGCTTAATATATTCATAATCAAATAGTACTTGGCTCAGAACTTCCTGTTTGGACGCCGGAGGAAGGCCACTTGGCGGCCTGATCTTCTTCCAGGCTTCCAGGATATCCCTCCATATCTTAGATTTCGGTCTTCGGCTACAAACGATGATAGAAGCATACACACCCAGACCTTGGTGTGATCCTGTAGGTCCCATTCGGTACCCAATATGTATTCGGCTAGTAACATCCACATCTTTGTATCCTTCTCTTGCATGGCCAAAAGAAGCCACTTCGCCGACGTGGCCATGTTCTACTGTAGCGCATCCAACTCTCCCAGACCCCCTTTCTTTCTTGGTGTCGCCACAACATCCCATGCCACTTTGGATATAAAGCCCTAGTCCTCTGTGACATTAGGCTTCCATAGATATCTCGCAGCAACTATTTTGATCTTTCTGTATGTTCCCTCCCCTAAAGCATGAATGGTTAGGGGAAACCAAACGAGGGAGAAGGCCGAGGAGGAGAGGACTAGAGCTCTACCAAACAGAGACAACCGAGAGCGTCGTTCCCAACCAGCGATTCTGGCCACCACCTTGTCAACTAGTATGTTGTCCTGCACCTTCGCACAATTTGAGAAGGAGACTTGAAGACCCAAGAATCCGTCCGAAGAGTTGGTCGTTATATGTCGAATTCCCCAATCCATACAGAGGTGAAAGGAGGGGGGGGGAGAAAATAAACAGACTTATCCCAGTTTATTGAGGTTTCTGATAGAATATAATAGTCGTCTAATATTCTACGTAGTTCTCACATACTAGATATTGTGTTCTCACAATCGACTGTCAAGTCATCTGCTATGGCCCCCCCTTTCCAATGGAACGAGGGGCGCAAACGGAGACCCACAATCTGAAGATTCATTCTAATATTTGCGAAAAGCACTTCAAGTTGTAGTACAAAAATCAAAGGGGCTAACGGGCACCCTTGCCTAAGGGAGCGGGACATGACAAATTCTTCTGATCGAGGACCGTTGACAAGGATTTACGCCATTTTTTTATAGTACATTGCTTTTATGCAGGTACGAAAGAAGTTTGCAAACCCCATGTTGATTAGTGTTGTGTTAACGAAAGCCCAGCCTACTTTATCGTAGCCTTTCTCCATATCAAGCATGAGGATAGCAATCTCTCTCTTCTCTTTGTCAATTATCTCCAAAGCTTGAACGATCGCTAGAATATTATCAAAAATGAACCGTCCTTTCACAACGGCTCCTTGTTCCCCTCCCACCAAGTCCGGGAGCAAGGGGCCCAACCGCAGGGCTAGGATCTTGGCTAATAGTTTATATGAGACATTTAGGACCGAGATCGGCCGCCAGTTCCGTATTTTCCCGTTTATCTTCTTTCTTATACATCACCGAAATCATTCCCTTAACCAACCCCCTGGGCAAGGTCCCGGAAACCCGAGTTTCATTATAAATGTCACTAAAAAACTACCCAAAGGCACCCCAAGCAGAGAGGAAGAATTCAATGGGTAAGTGGTCTGGCCCAGGACACTTACCTTTGGTCATCCGACGGGCGGCCTAGGTTACCTCCTCCAGG